CCCCCCCCCCCCCCCCCCCCCCAGTACGCCGATGATTTTAAGCGATTTTAGGCGATTTAAGAGAAATTGGACAATTTTGACGCGCGATTTAATGCGATTTACCGCCCCAGAGTAGGCCTAGTTAACAAGTGGAATATCAGGCTAGAACGGGGTGTATTATGGGAAAACTTGTCAAAAAGTTGCATATTTGTTTACGAAGAACGCTCAAAACTAAGCGACCAGGCCTTCACCGTGGCTTCACGAGAATTAGTCTGCCGCCATCTCGGTTTTTAAATGTAGTCGTCCAAAAATTGCGAGAACAAACAGAGTACAAAGTACCCGCTTATGCAATATTCTACCTACCTTCTCCATGTGCATTATCTCACCATAAAGGCACGGTACCGGATTTTTTGTTTCTTTCATAATATATAAGTGCAGTATGATATTTTTGTCCCTTTTTGGTTTTCAGGTGAATATAGTGTTAATGATATTACTCTGAGTGTATATCCTACACCGGGCAGGCTGAAATGTTAGGTTGACCACGGTAGGAATCGAGACCGCGCTACCTTTAAAATACTAGTCCAATGCTCTGCCATGCAACTGAGCTACAAGGCAATGTCAGTTAGAGCGTGTGGTATTACGGAAGCAAGCCTATAGTATCTTCGTACCAATGTGTTCTTATGGTCACGATTTTTTTGTGTGTGTTTTGATGTTATGTACTGAGGTGAATATAAAGTTTTTGATGTTACTCTGAGTGAATATCTACAGCGGGCAGGATGAAAATTTAGCCTGACGACGATGGGAATCCAACCCGCTTCCTTTGAGACAAAGTCCAATGCTCTGCCAAATCAGTTTCGAGGCGAGGCGGTTAAGAGTTGGGTTGCGGGTTTGATCTTGCTGTGGTCAGGCTAACGTTTTAGCCTTTCCGGTGTGGATATATATACTCAGTGTAGCATCAAAAAGATTATATTCACTTGAGTACATAATATCGAAACACACATAAAAAAATATCATAATTATAAGAACACAATGGTGTCAAAGGCTGAAAGGCACTAGACTTAATTCCAAAATACAACACAGTTGAACCCGACTTGACCTCGTAGCTTATGAGTTGGCAGAGCATTGGAGTAGTGTCCCAAAGGGAGCGAACTCGATTCCCACCGTGGTCAGGGTAACTTTTCAGCCCGCCCGGTGTGGATACGCACTCAGAATAACATCAAAAACATAATACGTATATTTTTTACTAAAAATCGAGATGAAGCGTGGGAAAACACTGACCTAGAAAGGCTAACGCAGTGCCACAGATAACAGTTTGCTCTTATAATGCAAGCACATTAACCACTCAAGTTGCATGGTTTGCTTGATTGCAAAAACTTTTGGCAAAGTGCTCAATCGATATCAGGGGCATAGCTAAATAAATTCAAGTAAAACGACTAAAAAATTCCACTAGGTGTTTTTACTAATATTGAGTGTAGTATAGAATAATGTTGCACTTATATCTTGTAGTGCGAGACTAAATAGTGTTAAAGCATTACTCACATTACAATTTGTATAGTACCTTCTTTTCTACAGCGATAGTTTCCCAAGAATCCTTCATTCTAACGTGCAAGGTATGATTGTCTTTCTGATAAGCTATAACAGTCCGCTGACTGATGGAATATTGCTCAACGTTTCACCATCTTCTACAACCACTACCTGCAAAATTCACGTACTCCTATTGATCAAGTAAGCACGTAAGTGTATGAACCGCGGAACATGCTTGCAAATGTATCTGTAATAATTTTTCCTTACAAAATTATTATCCCAGGGGTGTTTTATCCCCGAGCCGACAGCGCAAAGCGCCGTGCGAGGGTACTAATTTCGCCCGGCTATTTATACCCGGGGAAGGAACGCACTAGCGAAGTCTAAAGTTCATCAAATATCGTGGGCGCATGGCTCACCGTTCATAGGTGGTCATCCTCGCTGATCCCAAATGTAGCGAACTGCCATGAATAATGAGCACTGATTGGTCAAATTTGAAATTTCATTATAACGACTGGATTGACGAATGACGACAGCGAAATAACAAACATTTCTTTCAAGTTGTATTTTTGCAAGATTTTGTAAATTTCCATTTAAACCTTTCTGAGAGCCAAAAAACGGCTAAAAAACTTCTAAAAGAATGGAGCAAAGTCGCCGACGTTAATGAAGGTTAGTTTGTTTTAAATATTGATGTATTGTTTGTTTTATAATTGATTTATTTATAACTGATAGTGGTAGGCGATACTGCGAATATCGAACTGATCTACTATCGTCGCGCTCTATATAAGTGAAAAAATACAGCATATAATTTCAGTGCAGTTTTATTAATTACCCTTTCTATTGTATATTAAAATATTGAAATAAAGAGGAAAGCAAAGTTATTTTCATGCGAGAATGTGAAATCAGTTTATTTCAAACTCAATGTTCTAAGAAGATTTCAAAACGTTTTGCGAAGAATTTGTGGTTGAGTGTTACATTACATTGAAGCTTATGTTACGTTTAATGTAGTTCAATATGTTAGGTTAGCCCAAAGTAGTTTGGGCAATTGGCGACTTAGCGAGACAACCGATACACACCGATACAATGAGGCACATTTTTGGCATATAATTTTTGGGCAAGGAAGTGCTCGCAAAATGGTCTAGAGGCTCTCGCAAACCTAAGTTTTATCTAGAGGAACAGGCGGACCTCTAGATTGCAGAGGGAGTGACGCGGCTCTGTGCATGTTGTTCCGCGATATATGAGTCATATGAGTCCTGATGGTCTGGGGACCACCATTGGTATACTGAGACAGTATGGGTACTCAAGACCTGACAGAGCATGCAAAAACTGTACGTTTTTCTAGAGGAACAGGTGAACCTCTAGATAACAGGGGAACAGGCGAACCCCCGTTCAGGTCAGTCAGCTCGTTGATGTTGAGTACTAGTTGAACTGGTGAACAACTGATGGTAACTCAACTGAAATGACTTACCCATCGAGTCTCTAGGTCAGGTCATTCTGGTCGCATTGCGACCTGACTGACCTGTAAAATACACTTCACGTGGCGAAGTGTTGTCCCAAAGGACAGCACTTCCCTGCCATTAATGGCAATCTGTACGAGTACAGATTGCCATTTCTGCCACGGGAAGAGCAGTAAATGATGGTACAGATTGAACTGGGGGGAAAGGTGACGTTCCAAAACATGGTGGATTCCTGTTTGCCTTAGTATTTTGGGGGCTTTGTTTTAAAGTTACCGTTGTTGTTGGAAGTTTTTGGTTTTGTTTTTTGGTTTTGGTTTTTTGTTGTTGTTTTTTTTTGTTTTTTTTTTGGGTTTTTTTTTATAAATTAGGTCAAATAGATGTCTTTGAGTAAAAAGGCCGATATGGAGCCTTGTGACTCGGTGGGCAGGGGGATTCGCCAAATATGGGTGTTCACAAGACACAGTGCGGGACGAAAGCAAACCATCATTCACTACTTTCTCGATTAACCTCAACGTTTGGTTATGTGGATAACTGGAATAGTGTGGCAATGTGGAGTGCAGTCGTAATATAACGTGATTTGGGATGGGGAACCGTATCCACGTAACGAAAATTAAGGCTATGCAATATAAGACCACAGCTCATATTAATATAACTATAAAACTTTAATGTCTTGTACTTGCGGTCAGTTTGTATGGAACAGAGACTAAAACCTCCTGTGGAGTCCTAATATATCGTTCATAACAGTCTGAAGTCCAGCGTCCCAGTGTCCCAGCGGCTGTAGCAGCACCAAATCGGAAACTATGCGAGGCATAACGTTTTTCATCCAGTCCTTGACCTTGAAGTAAACTTCGTAAATGTGACGTTAGGGTGGTACGGGTAAGAGGGGCACCAGACTCGAATGCAAAAAGAGGACGAGGTGTGTGGACGGATGGTGACTGGAGCAGATAGGTTTTCATAGCTCGTACGGAGCAAAGTTTATTATGCGATGATCCAATGGTTAGGCGGTATCCACGGCGGAAAGGATCGGTTTTGGAGCGTTTGATAACTACTTCGTAAGAGTCAGCATGCAGAAGGTTTGGATGGAAAGTAATGTCATTTCTTGAAAGGAGCCAGTCAGGATCGAATGAGGAATTACACGTAAATTCACTGCACCGTATAAAGCCAAAGAAGGCCAGAGTAAAGGCTGCCCAAAGCATCACATTGTCTATCGAGTCTGTAAACTGAGGACATAGTGCAAAATAAAGGAGTTCGAGTTCTTTCACGGTGATAGGCCGTCGATCCCTCGTCTGTCCCCCTTCAGGCATTTCAGACTTTTTAGACATTTTTCTAGCAATTGCATGCTACCCATGTCGAATGGGACTTGGAAAATTACGTGTAGATGGGAGACACTAGCCAGGTAGGTTTTTACTGTTGCATACGAAACTGATTTTGATAAATGGCCAGCAAAGTATAGTAGGGTAATTTCAGTTGTGGGCAGTAAAGGCGAATGGGGTGTCACGATACCTTGTGCGAGGCAAGATGCTATAAACTGTTTTATACCCGTTGTATACGTTTGCTTTGTTGATGGTGCCCATGAATTCTGAATAAGTTCATACACACGGTTCTTTAAGTTTGAATAATGGATGCCGGGATGACGCAAGGCAGAGGAGAGGCCAAAGGCGCTAATTGTTTGAAGCGATCCATCTGAAAACGAGAGAGCGAATCAGCAATGCCATTGTCAAGACCACGGACATGCTTGGCCGTAAACGTAAAGTTATTTTGCAGTGTGCAGAGAACTATTGGTCGTAGTAGATCCATTATCTTAGGACTTTTTGACGTCTTTTGGTTAAGGATTTGAACGACAGATTCGTTGTCGCAGAAAAACACGATGCGTTTAGCTGTCCACTGGGCACCCCAGAGACGACAGGCAAGATATATTGGGAAAAGCTCTTGCCAGACGATCGAAATACCGGTTGTTTTATTAATAGTTTGTTCAGGTAGCCAGCGGCCCTGAAACCATTGTCCTGCTAAGTAACCACCGAAGCCGATTGAACCCGCCGCATCCGTGTATAACTGGAGTGACGGGGAAGGCGTCTGCCCAGATTCTAATACCGTTCCAGTAGTTTAGAAAAACCTCCCGCACAGCCAAGTCTTTATAGAAACCCGAATTTAATCTTACAAAATGGTAAGGCTGTTTTACGCCACATGTTAGGGAAATCATGCGCCGGAGAAACGTGCGACCTGGGGCTATGACCCGACATGCAAATTGGAGAACGCCAATAAGAGGTTGAAGCTCCCTTAACTGACAGGACGACCGTTGTCGCCAGTTGTTCAGAAGGGTTCTGGCCTGGGTTAGTTTTTCGTGGGGCAAAAGGACAAGCATGTGAATAGAATCTAGGGTAATCCCGAGGAATTCTAAGGTCTGAGTTGGAGCGAAGGTTTTTCCAGGGGCAATGGGAACATCCAATTCAGTGAACAGACACAGC